CTACTTTAAAGAGTCCTCTCCTGCTGATGTTCAGATATATATCAGTATGTAGTGTCTCTACTTTAAAGAGTCCTCTCCTGCCGATGTTCAGGTGTATATCAGTATGTAGTGTCTCTACTTTAAAGAGTCCTCTCCTCCTGATGTTCAGGTGAATATCAGTATGTAGTGTCTCTCCTTTAAAGAGTCCTCTCCAGCTGGTGAATATCAGTATGTAGTGTCTCTCCTTTAAAGAGTCCTCTCTTGCTGATATTCAGGTGTATATCAGTATGTAGTGTCTCTACTTTAAAGAGTCCTCTCCTGCTGATGTTCAGGTGTATATCAGTATGTAGTGTCTCTACTTTAAAGAGTCCTCTCCTGCTGATGTTCAGGTGTATATCAGTATGTAGTGTCTCTACTTTAAAGAGTCCTCTCTTGCTGATGTTCAGGTGTATATCAGTATGTAGTGTCTCTCCTTTAAAGAGTCCTCTCCTGCTGATGTATATCAGTATGTAGTGTCTCTACTTTAAAGAGTCCTCTCCTGCTGATGTTCAGGTGTATATCAGTATGTAGTGTCTCTACTTTAAAGAGTCCTCTCCTGCTGATGTTCAGGTGTATATCAGTATGTAGTGTCTCTACTTTAAAGAGTCCTCTCCTGCTGATGTTCAGGTGTATATCAGTATGTAGTGTCTCTACTTTAAAGACTCCTCTCCTGCTGATGTTCAGGTGTATATCAGTATGTAGTGTCTCTACTTTAAAGAGTCCTCTCCTGCTGATGTTCAGGTGAATATCAGTATGTAGTGTCTCTACTTTAAAGTGTCCTCTCCTGCTGATGTTCAGGTGAATATCAGTATGTAGTGTCTCTACTTTAAAGAGTCCTCTCCTGCTGATGTTCAGGTGAATATCAGTATGTAGTGTCTCTACTTTAAAGAGTCCTCTCCTGCTGATGTTCAGGTGTATATCAGTATGTAGTGTCTGTACTTTAAAGAGTCCTCTCCTGCTGATGTTCAGGTGAATATCAGTATGTAGTGTCTCTACTTTAAAGAGTCCTCTCCTGCTGATGTTCAGGTGTATATCAGTATGTAGTGTCTCTACTTTAAAGAGTCCTCTCCTGCTGATGTTCAGGTGAATATCAGTATGTAGTGTCTCTCCTTTAAAGAGTCCTCTCCTGCTGATGTTCAGGTGAATATCAGTATGTAGTGTCTCTACTTTAAAGAGTCCTCTCCTGCTGATGTTCAGGTGAATATCAGTATGTAGTGTCTCTACTTTAAAGAGTCCTCTCCTGCTGATGTTCAGGTGTATATCAGTATGTAGTGTCTCTACTTTAAAGAGTCCTCTCCTGATGATGTTCAGGTGTATATCAGTGTGTAGTGTCTCTACTTTAAAGAGTCCTCTCCTGCTGATGTTCAGATATATATCAGTATGTAGTGTCTCTACTTTAAAGAGTCCTCTCCTGCCGATGTTCAGGTGTATATCAGTATGTAGTGTCTCTACTTTAAAGAGTCCTCTCCTGCTGATGTTCAGGTGAATATCAGTATGTAGTGTCTCTACTTTAAAGAGTCCTCTCCTGCTGATGTTCAGGTGAATATCAGTATGTAGTGTCTCTCCTTTAAAGAGTCCTCTCCAGCTGGTGAATATCAGTATGTAGTGTCTCTCCTTTAAAGAGTCCTCTCTTGCTGATGTTCAGGTGTATATCAGTATGTAGTGTCTCTCCTTTAAAGAGTCCTCTCCTGCTGATGTATATCAGTATGTAGTGTCTCTACTTTAAAGAGTCCTCTCCTGCTGATGTTCAGGTGTATATCAGTATGTAGTGTCTCTACTTTAAAGAGTCCTCTCCTGCTGATGTTCAGGTATATCAGTATGTAGTGTCTCTACTTTAAAGAGTCCTCTCCTGCTGATGTTCAGGTGTATATCAGTATGTAGTGTCTCTACTTTAAAGAGTCCTCTCCTGCTGATGTTCAGGTGTATATCAGTATGTAGTGTCTCTACTTTAAAGAGTCCTCTCCTGCTGATGTTCAGGTGAATATCAGTATGTAGTGTCTCTACTTTAAAGAGTCCTCTCCTGCTGATGTTCAGGTGAATATCAGTATGTAGTGTCTCTACTTTAAAGAGTCCTCTCCTGCTGATGTTCAGGTGTATATCAGTATGTAGTGTCTGTACTTTAAAGAGTCCTCTCCTGCTGATGTTCAGGTGAATATCAGTATGTAGTGTCTCTACTTTAAAGAGTCCTCTCCTGCTGATGTTCAGGTGTATATCAGTATGTAGTGTCTCTACTTTAAAGAGTCCTCTCCTGCTGATGTTCAGGTGAATATCAGTATGTAGTGTCTCTCCTTTAAAGAGTCCTCTCCTGCTGATGTTCAGGTGAATATCAGTATGTAGTGTCTCTCCTTTAAAGAGTCTTCTCCTGCTGATGTTCAGGTGAATATCAGTATGTAGTGTCTCTACTTTAAAGAGTCCTCTCCTGCTGATGTTCAGGTGTATATCAGTATGTAGTGTCTCTACTTTAAAGAGTCCTCTCCTGCTGATGTTCAGGTGTATATCAGTATGTAGTGTCTCTACTTTAAAGAGTCCTCTCCTGCTGATGTTCAGGTGTATATCAGTATGTAGTGTCTCTAATTTAAAGAGTCCTCTCCTGCTGATGTTCAGGTGAATATCAGAATGTAGTGTCTCTACTTTAAAGAGTCCTCTCCTGCTGATGTTCAGGTGTATATCAGTATGTAGTGTCTCTACTTTAAAGAGTCCTCTCCTGCTGATGTTCAGGTGTATATCAGTATGTAGTGTCTCTACTTTAAAGAGTCCTCTCCTGCTGATGTTCAGGTGTATATCAGTATGTAGTGTCTCTACTTTAAAGAGTCCTCTCCTGCTGATGTTCAGGTGTATATCAGTATGTCGTATCTCTACTTTAAAGAGTCCTCTCCTGCTGATGTTCAGGTGTATATCAGTATGCAGTGTCTCTACTTTAAAAGAGTCCTCTCCTGCTGATGTTCAGGTGAATATCAGTATGTAGTGTCTCTACTTTAAAGAGTCCTCTCCTCCTGATGTTCAGGTGTATATCAGTATGCAGTGTCTCTACTTTAAAAGAGTCCTCTCCTGCTGATGTTCAGGTGAATATCAGTATGTAGTGTCTCTACTTTAAAGAGTCCTCTCCTGCTGATGTTCAGGTGTATATCAGTATGTAGTGTCTCTACTTTAAAGAGTCCTCTCCTGCTGATGTTCAGGTGAATATCAGTATGTAGTGTCTCTCCTTTAAAGAGTCCTCTCCTGCTGATGTTCAGGTGAATATCAGTATGTAGTGTCTCTCCTTTAAAGAGTCCTCTCCTGCTGATGTTTAGGTGTATATCAGTATGTAGTGTCTCTACTTTAAAGAGTCCTCTCCTGCTGATGTTCAGGTGAATATCAGTATGTAGTGTCTCTACTTTAAAGAGTCCTCTCCTGCTGATGTTCAGGTGAATATCAGTATGTAGTGTCTCTACTTTAAAGAGTCTTCTCCTGCTGATGTTCAGGTGTATATCAGTATGTAGTGTCTCTACTTTAAAGAGTCCTCTCCTGCTGATGTTCAGGTGTATATCAGTATGTAGTGTCTCTACTTTAAAGAGTCCTCTCCTGCTGATGTTCAGGTGTATATCAGTATGTAGTGTCTCTACTTTAAAGAGTCTTCTCCTGCTGATGTTCAGGTGTATATCAGTATGTAGTGTCTCTACTTTAAAGAGTCCTCTCCTGCTGATGTTCAGGTGAATATCAGTATGTAGTGTCTCTACTTTAAAGAGTCTTCTCCTGCTGATGTTCAGGTGTATATCAGTATGTAGTGTCTCTACTTTAAAGAGTCCTCTCCTGCTGATGTTCAGGTGTATATCAGTATGTAGTGTCTCTACTTTAAAGAGTCCTCTCCTGCTGATGTTCAGGTGTATATCAGTATGTAGTGTCTCTACTTTAAAGAGTCTTCTCCTGCTGATGTTCAGGTGTATATCAGTATGTAGTGTCTCTACTTTAAAGAGTCCTCTCCTGCTGATGTTCAGGTGTATATCAGTATGTAGTGTCTCTACTTTAAAGAGTCCTCTCCTGCTGATGTTCAGGTGTATATCAGTATGTAGTGTCTCTACTTTAAAGAGTCCTCTCCTGCTGATGTTCAGGTGTATATCAGTATGTAGTGTCTCTACTTTAAAGAGTCCTCTCCTGCTGATGTTCAGGTGTATATCAGTATGTAGTGTCTCTCCTTTAAAGAGTCTTCTCCTGCTTATGTTCAGGTGTATATCAGTATGTAGTGTCTCTACTTTAAAGAGTCCTCTCCTGCTGATGTTCAGGTGTATATCAGTATGTAGTGTCTATACTTTAAAGAGTCCTCTCCTGCTGATGTTCAGGTGTATATCAGAATGTAGTGTCTCTACTTTATAGAGTCCTCTCCTGCTGATGTTCAGATGTATATCAGTATGTAGTGTCTCTACTTTAAAGAGTCCTCTCCTGCTGATGTTCAGATGTATATCAGTGTGTAGTGTCTCTACTTTAAAGAGTCCTCTCCTGCTGATGTTCAGGTGTATATCAGTATGTAGTGTCTCTACTTTAAAGAGTCCTCTCCTGCTGATGTTCAGGTGTATATCAGTATGTAGTGTCTCTCCTTTAAAGAGTCCTCTCCTGCTGAATATCAGTGTGTAGTGTCTCTACTTTAAAGAGTCCTCTCCTGCTGATGTTCAGGTGTATATCAGTATGTAGTGTCTCTACTTTAAAGAGTCCTCTCCTGCTGATGTTCAGGTGTATATCAGTATGTAGTGTCTCTACTTTAAAGAGTCCTCTCCTGCTGATGTTCAGGTGTATATCAGTATGTAGTGTCTCTACTTTAAAGAGTCCTCTCCTGCTGATGTTCAGGTGTATATCAGTATGTAGTGTCTCTACTTTAAAGAGTCCTCTCCTGCTGATGTTCAGGTGTATATCAGTGTGTAGTGTCTCTAAAGAGAATGTCTTCAGACCTTTAAACACATCACTATGAGGACATTTCTCAGTGTAATGTTTGACAAAAATACACATCCATATTTGACTCAATACCTTTTATATCAAAGTGACAGTATTTTGGTTATTGATTCTTTCATACAGTTTGTTTACTAAACTAAGGTATTTATGACAAAAGATCTGCGGCGATGTTGGTCTGAAGGCCAGGCGGTGGAAGCATCGTGTGAAGCGGGTTCCTGCGATGCATTCGGCCGGGAGACGTTGAAACTACAATCACAACAGAGTAAAACCTGCAGGTGCTCCAGGTCACAAACTGCCCTTCTAATACAGCCTCGTTTATATATATATGGAAATCAAACCAAAAACAAACATGCAGCATTTCAAATTCCCAAAACAACCTTTATTCTAAACTTTTAAATTTGAAGTTTAGTATAAAAAAAGTTAAGTGTACCTTTTTTTTTTTTCTTCCCTCAAAGTATTTCCATCTTCTTTTCACACTCTTTAGTAATCTCAAAAGATAGAAGGTGAACCAGAGTGTCATCGCGTCACTTTTGGTACACACGCCTACAAAATATTTGAAAGAGGAATCCCTGAACTTCTGAATGTCCGTAATCCCTCGGAGAGAAACCCTCCTGCTGGCGGTTGGCATAGCACCTGCTGTCGGCTGTATTCATATCGCTGCTTCACACAAAGCAGGGAAACAACCTCTCAGTGTTAGCAGCTGTGGCCTTTGGGTCCAAACACATGTGTGGAGGTGTGTGTGTGTGTGTGTGTGAGGCATCAGACGATGGCGTGCAGACAGCTGCTCGCTCTCACTTAACACCCAAATCGCTTAACTGGCGCTGTGCAGACTTTGTTTCCTGGCGGCCACAGCTGTTAACACTTGATCCGGTGTGTCGGATACCCAGGGACACATTGACGCTATAGCACACCCAAAAAGAGAAAAGTTCTGCAAGATCACGTAAAGACTCTAGACGTTGAATTAGAAGCACAGGAATGATGCCGACAGTGATTGAGCCAAACACAACGCTCTCAGATGGACTCCAATCGACACACGCTCAGAGATCTCAGCTTTCTTTAAACCGATTGACTTTGCGTCTCGGATGAAAAGTGTTTCTACAGAGCAACAACTTAAGGAGTGACTCCTTCACAGGAAGTGAGCGGTGCGACTCGGTGCCGCTGATTCTACGATAGGTTTGCTTTTAAATTGTGACATTTTTTAAATGTTGAAATCACAACCGAACGTAAGTGAACCGGGGGTTCGGCGGCTCATCGATCACACGTCTTGAATATTAATGGAAATGGAAAGAAGGAAATAAAAGAAACATTGAAATATTTATTAAAGTCTCCTCGAGCTTTGACAAGAAACTAATGCTATCACACGTGAATAAATACTTTAAAATGAGAAACAACAGTGGGGGGGGGGGGGGGGGAGGGGAGGGTGTTGAAGTCTGTACAATAAAAACACTTAGTGTATAAACTCTGGGTATCCGACTGTGAAATAGAAACAGGAGACAAAGAAAACGTGTTACACCAACCAGCCCTTCCCGCGCGTCTGTCCTTTTGGATTTACTTCAAAGTTCTTTCCTTTAAGTTTACTGAAGTTAATTTACGTTAGGGCTATCCCCGGTGCTCTTTGGCACCCGACTATGTTCATCTACAAATCGCCCAACAAGGTACAGTAAACCACTTTGGATATTGCATGAAATCTTTTGTCTTTAATCATTTGCTTATTTTAAATGTATAGATTTACAATCCATCACATGGACTCAATTTAGCGGAGATATTTTGGACATTGTGCAAACAAGACGATTCTAGCTAAAAGCATCCAGGACGCTTTCCTTTTTTTTTTGTCATTTCTCATCATACTGGTATTTACATGTAACTATTACACATTAATTAATTCAACTACACTAGAAGTTCTCAACAAAAAAAGGACAAATGGATTTTTTTTGTGCATTAAGTGCAACTCCGCAACTGCATTCCACGTTCACCATAAAGCAGCTAAACTATGTGAAGCGGATCTGATATTTCAATATTTCGTTTTACGCAGCGTTTACACGAACATCTCGATGTGATTTGTGATCCGTTCGATCGGAGGAAACAGACGCCTGAGAGAGTCCGCCCGGGAATGAGAGGGGCGGACCTGCGAGGATCATGGAATGAAATCTACGGCGTTAGAAATTTAGCGTCAGTCGTCTCCAGGCTGTCGTGGTGGGATCTCTAGGTCAGAAGTGGAGTACTGTACCTCTCTGAGGGCTCTACATATTACATTCCGTTAGGTGATATCAGTATTGTGGCATGGCCAAGCAGCCCGAAGAGGGAGGCGTATGGGGTGGGGAGGGAGGCGTATGGGGTGGGGGAGAACGGGGGCATCAATTGGGTCGGGGGGAGGCTCGGTTTAGGCATGAAGGAGTCGGTGTTACCAGATGGTATAACCTCCATTGGAACCCCCCAGGAAGAAGTTGTTCTTGCGCTGTGCCATTACCACGTTGGCCCCCTGCATGGCGGCCAGCTGGGCCGCGTTGGGGGGGTGTCCAGGAGGGGGGGGCTGCAGAGGGGAAGGGGGGGAACAGACATAATTATTAACAACTTGGGATTTGATCAATTCTGTCTTAAAACATATCAATAACATCCAAACTGCAATAGTTCTGAGGCTGGTTGCCGACTTGGCTCTCGTCTGCTCCTTTAGCCTATCATGTATAATGTGTTGGAATCCTAACCAATAGGAGCATGAGTGTTCCATAGTGATGTCACTAAGTTCCGGAAGTAAACAGAGGAGTCCAATGGAAGAACAAAAAGCATTTGTAATAACAAATTGGATGCCATGTTAGGTGGAGACCAGAAATGTCCACATAACCCAACAACTGCTCCTGGTAGAGGGACGGGTTAGATGCAGAGAGCACATGTCACTGTGAGTGCCGTGTGCTCTGCATGTGTGACCATTAGAGAGGGGTTCATCCCTCCCAATTCTGATTCTAATGTTGGCTTGGTGTTTCGCTGGTTAACAACTTTCTTATCTTACCAAAGTTAGGGATATTTGTCTTAAACGATTTCCTTAAGTAAAGCATCGTCAGAAACATTTAGACGGTGTTGTGGCTCCTTTAAGCGTTTAAACTCACTGGGATGGAGACACCGCTGCTTGCTGTGAACCGAGCACCAGCATCATAGCCTCCCTCCACCATCACTGTGGAGCCGGGGGGGTACACGGCTCCCATGGGGTAGTAGGCCATGGGGACGTTTTGTCCCATCTGCCCGACCTGCATATGGGGCTGCATGGGCATAAACATCTGAGCGCCGGGGTAGTGGGAGGACATCTGCGCCACCTGGCCGGGCACCTGGTGTGGAAGCACATATCTGGGCTGGTATATCTGCAGACAGAAGCAATCGATTAGAACCAGAGAGGGCAGCAGTACACACATCCTTTACTCAAGTAGAAGTACAGATACTCGTGTTTAAAAATACTCTGGTGAAAGTAGAAGTACTGACTAAACTTCTTTACTCAAGTCAAAGTAAAGAGGCTTGAAATGTACTTCAGTAAAAAGTACCCATAACTAGCAGCTGCTTTAAAGAGTACCTGACCTCCCTTTATATCAATAGAACAATAATGTCATTGTTAGCTAATGAATGTTTCCATGCTGAACAACGGCAACATGACAACGTTTCCATTGGTCCCTCTTCTTTAGAGAAGACCAGGAAATGATGGATACACGGATCGTGTTCAAATCAATAGGCACGCAATGACTCTAAAGAATAATGATCACGCATCAAACACACATTCAGACTAAAGGAACCAGCTGTTTGGAAAATGAGAGAAGTAGAAAGTACAGGTATTTGTGTTCAACATGTGAGAAGTAGAAAGTACAGGTATTTGGGTTCAACATGTGAGAAGTAGAAAGTACAGGTATTTGTGTTCAACATGTAAGAAGTAGAAGTACAGGTATTTGTGTTCAACATGTAAGAAGTAGAAAGTACAGGTATTTGGGTTCAACATGTAAGAAGTAGAAAGTACAGGTATTTGTGTTCAACATGTAAGAAGTAGAAAGTACAGGTATTTGAGTCAACATGTGAGAAGTAGAAAGTACAGGTATTTGAGTTCAACATGTAAGAAGTAGAAGTACAGTAGGTATTTGAGTTCAACATGTAAGAAGTAGAAAGTACAGGTATTTGAGTTCAACATGTAAGAAGTAAGAAAGTACAGGTATTTGAGTTCAACATGTAAAGAAGTAGAAAGTACAGGTATTTGAGTTCAACATGTAAGAAGTAGAAAGTAAGGTATTTGGGTTCAACATGTAAGAAGTAGAAAGTACAGGTATTTGAGTTCAACATGTAAGAAGTAGAAAGTACAGGTATTTGTGTTCAACATGAGAGAAGTAGAAAGTACAGGTATTTGAGGTCAACATGTAAGAAGTAGAAAGTACAGGTATTTGAGTTCAACATGTAAGAAGTAGAAAGTACAGGTATTTGAGTTCAACATGTAAGAAGTAGAAAGTACAGGTATTTGTGTTCAACATGTAAGAAGTAGAAAGTACAGGTATTTGAGTTCAACATGTAAGAAGTAGAAAGTACAGGTATTTGAGTTCAACATGTAAGAAGTAGAAAGTACAGGTATTTGAGTTCAACATGTAAAGAAGTAGAAGTACAGGTATTTGTGTTCAAAAATGTTAGAGAGTAGAAAGTACAGGTATTTGTGTTCAACGTGTACGAAGTAGAAAGTACAGGTATTTGAGTTCAAACATGTAAGAAGTAGAAAGTACAGGTATTTGTGTTCAACATGTAAGAAGTAGAAAGTACAGGTATTTGAGTTCAACATGTGAGAAGTAGAAAGTACAGGTATTGAGTTCAACATGTGAGAAGTAGAAAGTACAGGTATTTGAGTTCAACATGTAAGAAGTAGAAAGTACAGGTATTTAAGTTCAACATGTAAGAAGTAGAAAGTACAGGTATTTGAGTTCAACATGTAAGAAGTAGAAAGTACAGGTATTTAAGTTCAACATGTAAGAAGTAGAAAGTACAGGTATTTGAGTTCAACATGAGAGAAGTAGAAAGTACAGGTATTTGAGTTCAAATGTAAGAAGTAGAAAGTACAGGTATTTGATTTCAAACATGTGAGAAGTAGAAAGTACAGGTATTTAAGTTCAACATGTAAGAAGTAGAAAGTACAGGTATTTGAGTTCAACATGTAAGAAGTAGAAAGTACAGGTATTTGAGTTCAACATGTAAGAAGTAGAAAGTACAGGTATTTGAGTTCAACATGTAAGAAGTAGAAAGTACAGGTATTTGGTTCAACATGTAAGAAGTAGAAAGTACAGGTATTTGAGTTCAACATGTAAGAAGTAGAAAGTACAGGTATTTGAGTTCAACATGTAAGAAGTAGAAAGTACAGGTATTTGAGTTCAACATGTAAGAAGTAGAAAGTACAGGTATTTGGTTCAACATGTAAGAAGTAGAAAGTACAGGTATTTGTGTTCAACATGTAAGAAGTAGAAAGTACAGGTATTTGGTTCAACATGTAAGAAGTAGAAAGTACAGGTATTTGAGTTCAACATGTAAGAAGTAGAAAGTACAGGTATTTGTGTTCAACATGTGAGAAGTAGAAAGTACAGGTATTTGAGTTCAACATGTAAGAAGTAGAAAGTACAGGTATTGTGTTCAACATGTAAGAAGTAGAAAGTACAGGTATTTGTGTTCAACATGTAAGAAGTAGAAAGTACAGGTATTTGTGTTCAAACATGTAAGAAGTAGAGAAAGTACAGGTATTTGGGTTCAACATGTAAGAAGTAGAAAGTACAGGTATTTGAGTTCAACATGTAAGTAGAAGTAAGATTGAGTCAACATGTAGAAGTAGAAAGGTATTTGAGTTTCAACATGTAAGAAGTAGAAAGTACAGGTATTTGAGTTCAACATGTAAGAAGTAGAAAGTACAGGTATTGAGTTCAACATGTAAGAAGTAGAAAGTACAGGTATTTGAGGTTCAACATGTAAGAAGTAGAAAGTACAGGTATTTGTAGTTCAACATGTAAGAAGTAGAAAGTACAGGTATTTGATGTTCAACATGTGAGAAGTAGAAAGTACAGGTATTTGATGTTCAACATGCTAGAAGTAGAAAGTACAGGTATTTGAGTTCAACATGTAAGAAGTAGAAAGTACAGGTATTTGTGTTCAACATGTAAGAAGTAGAAGTACAGGTATTTGTGTTCAACATGTGAGAAGTAGAAAGTACAGGTAGTTGAGGTTCAACATGTAAGAAGTAGAAAGTACAGGTATTTGTGTTCAACATGTAAGAATAGAAAGTACAGGTATTTGTGTTCAACATGTAAGTTCAACATGTGAGAAGTAGAAAGTACAGGTATTTGAGTTCAACATGTAAGAAGTAGAAAGTACAGGTATTAGAGTTCAACATGTAAGAAGTAGAAAGTACAGGTATTTGAGTTCAACATGTAAGAAGTAGAAAGTACAGGTATTTGAGTTCAACATGTAAGAAGTAGAAAGTACAGGTATTTGAGGTTCAACATGTAAGAAGTAGAAAGTACAGGTATTTGTGTTCAACATGTAAGAAGTAGAAAGTACAGGTATTTGTGTTCAACATGTAAGAAGTAGAAAGTACAGGTATTTGAGTTCAACATGTGAAGTAGAAAGTACAGGTATTTGGTTCAACATGTAAGAAGTAGAAAGTACAGGTATTTGAGTTCAACATGTAAGAAGTAGAAAGTACAGGTATTTGAGTTCAACATGTAAGAAGTAGAAAGTACAGGTATTTGTGTTCAACATGTAAGAAGTAGAAAGTACAGGTATTTGAGTTCAACATGTAAGAAGTAGAAAGTACAGGTATTTGAGTTCAACATGTAAGAAGTAGAAAGTACAGGTATTTGAGTTCAACATGTAAGAAGTAGAAAGTACAGGTATTTGGTCAACATGTAAGAAGTAGAAAGTACAGGTATTTGGTCAACATGTAAGAAGTAGAAAGTACAGGTATTTGAGTTCAACATGTAAGAAGTAGAAAGTACAGGTATTTGTGTTCAACATGTAAGAAGTAGAAAGTACAGGTATTTGAGTTCAACATGTAAGAAGTAGAAAGTACAGGTATTTGTGTTCAACATGTAAGAAGTAGAAAGTACAGGTATTTGGGTTCAACATGTAGAAGTAGAAAGTACAGGTATTTGTGTCAACATGTAAGAAGTAGAAAGTACAGGTATTTGGGTTCAACATGTAAGAAGTAGAAAGTACAGGTATTTGTTCAACATGTAAGAAGTAGAAAGTACAGGTATTTGGTTCAACATGTAAGAAGTAGAAAGTACAGGTATTTGTGTTCAACATGTAAGAAGTAGAAAGTACAGGTATTTGTGTTCAACATGTAAGAAGTAGAAAGTACAGGTATTTGGTTCAACATGTAAGAAGTAGAAAGTACAGGTATTTGTGTTCAACATGTAAGAAGTAGAAAGTACAGGTATTTGTTCAACATGTAAGAAGTAGAAAGTACAGGTATTTGTTCAACATGTAAGAAGTAGAAAGTACAGGTATTTGAGTTCAACATGTAAGAAGTAGAAAGTACAGGTATTTGTGTTCAACATGTAAGAAGTAGAAAGTACAGGTATTTGTGTTCAACATGTAAGAAGTAGAAAGTACAGGTATTGAGTTCAACATGTAAGAAGTAGAAAGTACAGGTATTTGAGTTCAACATGTAAGAAGTAGAAAGTACAGGTATTTGTTCAACATGTAGAAGTAGAAAGTACAGGTATTTGGTTCAACATGTAAGAAGTAGAAAGTACAGGTATTTGAGTTCAACATGTAAGAAGTAGAAAGTACAGGTATTTGGTTCAACATGTGAGAAGTAGAAAGTACAGGTATTTGAGTTCAACATGTAAGAAGTAGAAAGTACAGGTATTTGTGTTCAACATGTAAGAAGTAGAAAGTACAGGTATTTGTTCAACATGTAAGAAGTAGAAAGTACAGGTATTTGAGTTCAACATGTAAGAAGCAGAAAGTACAGGTATTTGGGTTCAACATGTAAGAAGTAGAAAACAGGTATTTGAGTTCAACATGTAAGAAGTAGAAAGTACAGGTATTTGAGTTCAACATGTAAGAAGTAGAAAGTACAGGTATTTGGTTCAACATGTAAGAAGTAGAAAGTACAGGTATTTGGTTCAACATGTAAGAAGTAGAAAGTACAGGTATTTGAGTTCAACATGTAAGAAGTAGAAAGTACAGGTATTTGTGGTCAACCATGTTAAGAAGTAGAAAGTACAGGTATTTTGGGTTCAACATGTGAGAAGTAGAAAGTTACAGGTATTTGAGTTCAACATGTAAGAAGTAGAAAGTACAGGTATTTGTGTTCAACATGTAAGAAGAGAATAGATTACAGGTATTTGTGTTCAACATGTGAGAAGTAGAAAGTACAGGTATTGTGTTCAACATGTGAGAAGTAGAAAGTACAGGTATTTGTGTTCAACATGTAGAGTAGAAAGTACAGGTATTGTGTTAACATGTAAGAAGTAGAAAGTACAGGTATTTGAGTTCAACATGTGAGAAGTAGAAAGTACAGGTACTTTGTGTTCAACATGTAAGAAGTAGAAAGTACAGGTATTTGTGTTCAACATGTGAAAGTAGAAAGTACAGGTATTGTGTTCAACATGTGAGAAGTAGAAAGTACAGGTATTGTGTTTAACATGTAAGAAGTAGAAAGTACAGGTATTTGAGTTCAACATGTAAGAAGTAGAAAAGTACAGGTATTTGAGTTCAACATGTAAGACGTTAGAAATTACAGGTATTTGAGTTCAACATTTGAGGAAGTAGGAAAGTACAGGTATTGCTGTTCAACATGTAAGAAGTAGAAGACTACAGCAGGTATTTGTGGTTCAACATGTAAGAAGTAGAACGTACAGGTATTTGTCGTTCAACATGTAAGAAGTAAGAAAGTTACAGGTATTTGATGTTCAACATGTAAGAAGTAGAAAGTACAGGTATTTGTGTTCAACATGTGAGAAGTAGCAAGTACAGGTATTTGTGTTTCAACATGTGAGGAGAAGTAGAAGTACCAGGTTATTTGTGTTCAACAGTCGAAGAAGTAGAAAGTACAGGTATTTGTGTTCAACATGTAAGAGTAGAAAGTTACAGGTATTGAGTTCAACATGTAAGAAGTAGAAAGGTACAGGTATTTGTGTTCAACATGTAAGAAGTAGAAAGTACAGGTATTTGAGTTCAACATGTAAGAAGTAGAAAGTACAGGTATTTGTGTTCAACATGTGAGAAGTAGAAAGTACAGGTATTTGGGTTCAACATGTAAGAAGTAGAAAGTACAGGTATTTGAGTTCAAAGTGTAAGAGGTAAAAGTAAAAAGAGGTCAGAAAGTAGTGGAGTAAAGTACTGATACCAGAGCAATGTACAGTGAGGAAGTATTTGTGCTCCACTACTTCCCCCCTCTGGTTAGACCTGATCACAGAGCCACGTGATATGATAGATACATGTATGTAATCTTTACCTCAGAATATGCAGGTGGTGTGTCTGTGTAAGGAGGAGCCTGGGGAGACATTTGCATAGCAGGAGGGTATCCAGGTGCAGTGCTCTGCTGAGGGTACACAGACTGCTGAGGATATGAACCTGCAAACACAACATCATACACGTTACTGTTGAACAGGGACTGACACACAAACCCCTGCGTGACCGGGTGGCTGCGGTTTATGGTGCTTTGTTGGGAAATTGTGACAAAACTAAAGAAGAATTTAGGTTAAATGTTTCGTTGTCGTATATGTTGGGACAGATATTCTTCTTCTTTTTTAATAGGATAAACAAAGATGTCACGTTAACAATGAGGATAAAGCCAGGTATACCACATTTTCAGTAGTTATTAATGTATTGACAGCAGAGACATCTAGTGAGTACACTAGTATGGATTTGGGGTGATATTATTCATTCCTATGCTACAAGATAGAAAGCATAAGCTTAATGTTATACTCCAGAGATTAGAAAGGGCCCTGGGTAATGTTCATTAAAGGAATACCACAAATACAATGTAGGACTGCAACCGATTATATAAATGATGTTAAATGTAATATATTAAACTTTGAGTATCAATGATTCTGATGTAATGTAGTGCTGTATATCCACGTTCAGAACATAGTGAAGGGTGTCCGCCGGGCTAACAGTTCAACATCTGAATATCAAGTTTAAAATCATATAGGTTACATAGAAAACAACTAATATGGTTTTTTTAGCTAAACTAAAAGTAAAATGATTCATAAATTATCCAAATACTTGCGGATGAATCAACATATCAAGTTTTAGTCGCGGCTCTGCTATAATGACATAACGTGTCCGAACAAAGTGCAGAAATGCAGTTAAATTCTTGTTTTGATCAGGGCCAGTGGTCAATACACGGGGAAACCCATACAAGGCATCATGGAAAACACACAGAATTACTCACATACTAATAACAACCAAGCTATAGTTGGAATGTTTAAAGCGATACGGTTTCGTTTCTCCCAAAGTGTCTCTGATCCTTTGTATTTGTGTCGGACAGAAACCTTCCCTTAAAGGCACCACGGTGAGCCTGTTGTGGTATGTGCTGACATTAGCTAAACAAAGCATTATTCAAGGGAACAATCGATAGGGAGAATAATCGTTAGTTTAAGGCCTACAGGAGCCGCTGGAAAGCCAACAGCAACAAAAGATCTGAGCAGAAAATACCCGCAGACAAAGACTGAGCAGGCGGCGAGGAGAGCAGATTCATGTACTTATACACACTCTGTCTGGGCAACGGCACACTAAGAACCGAGTATTATTCAAATGATGCAAACTGATTAGCTAGATTCCCATGCATGTAAACCATGGATGTATAAAGAGAACGGGATACTCCGCTCATTCCTATGAGAGCTGCTCAGAGGCGCATGAAGCCCATAATAAAGCGACTGTAGATACAGGAAGTACCCGGATGATCCTGGGCCTTTTGCTTACTGAGCATGCGCGCTGGAGAGTTCCCTTAGCCTCCGGAGAGACAGAATTTTGGTATGATTTCCTTTTTTTAAATCGTATTTGTATTACCTTCTCCTACAACCTATTTTATTGTTGTTGTTTCCGTTTGCATCATGAAGCAACTGCCTTGTATGTGTAAGCGCTCCTGGCAAACCTGGTTCTGATCTTATGTAAGTCAACGGGAGAAAGTCTTTTTGGGCCAAAATGACGTCACGACAGTTGCAGTACCACCGAGCGGCCACTACGCTCATTTTTTAAAAATCTGCTTCAACGGCTGGTGCTCTTCTCAACAGTAAAAAAAAAAATCATGTTAGCTTGTGATGCTAAGCTAACTGAAAATATGTGACCTGGCCACCATTACTATGGTGATAAAACGGTGACAGTGAATCTATCCGTTTATTATTAACATCCACGGTGTTTTATAACAATTTAGACGCCGGTAATTACCGTGTGTTCTTTATATTTATCCGGAAAATGTCAGTTTATTGTCATTACACGGAGCTAATGTCCGTTAGCCACATTAGCTTCATCTCCGGATCTCCGGTAAATATCTTCAGGCCAAAACGAACGGAAAACGGACTGTAAATATCAACACGAGGTGTGGGAAACATACCTTTGTTGTTCATTGTTGTGTGATGATCTGGAGGCTGGAAGAATATCAGAATAAAAGGAGGAGCTCCGCGTTCATATATCTCTGTCACGGCCTTTAAAAAACCTTACGGCTGCTTCTTTCCTTCACTTCCTTGTTTTTCAGCTTCTTCTTCTTGTTGTTGTGGAAGTGGTGACGTCAGCACGTTCCGTATCTCTGATGTGACGTAGCGCGTCGTTTTATAACCGCGAGCGCACCCTGCCGACAGACAGACAGACAGACAGACGACAGGCAGAAGTACTCAGAACGTGTACTTGAGTAAAAGTAGAAGTACTCAGATCTTGTACTTGAGTAAAAGTAGAAGTACTCAGATCTTGTACTTGAGTAAAAGTAGAAGTACTCAGAGCGTGTGCTTGAGTAAAAGTAGAAGTACTCAGAGCGTGTGCTTGAGTAAAAGTAGAAGTACTCAGATCTTGTACTTGAGTAAAAGTAGAAGTACTCAGAGCATGTGCTTGAGTAAAAGTAGAAGTACTCAGATCTTGTACTTAAGTAAAAGTAGAAGTACTCAGATCTTGTACTTGAGTAAAAGTAGAAGTACTCAGAGTGTGTACTTTAGTCAAAGTAGAAGTACCAGAGTGTAGGAATACTCCGTTACAGTAAAAGTCCTGTAATCAAAATGTTATTCAAGTAAAAATAGAAAAGTATTATCATCAAAATGAAGTTAAAGTACCAAAAGTAAAAGTAGTCATTGTGCAGATTGGTCCATTTCAGAATAATATGATATCATATTCCAATTACTTGTAGACTCTCCTTGCACTATTCTATCCTATTGTATTTGTATTTACTTGCACTATTTTAACTATGCATCTGTTGTATTGTGTTGCACTGTTGGAGGAGCCTGTGACCTCAGATTTCCATATACATCTACTGATCTACACTGTAGCTATGTACAAATGACAATAACAGCCTTGAAACTTGATATGTTTTATAATTATTGATCATTAAAGTGTGCAGCTAGAATTTAGTTTTATCAAAATAAACTAGAGAATGACATTCCTGAAGAAATTGCTAGTGGGAATGCTCTATGCTGAAAAGCTGACGCTAAACTGCTATGCTGAAATGTAATGTGTAAGTACAAAGTGAAGAATTTAGATTGAAATGATACATGAACACTGGGGGCTTGAATGTGTGATCAGAGAAGAAAATAAAGTAAAAAGGCTTGGAAAAGCAGCAGAATATTTAAACTGCAAACTTTTGAACTAACTTGATGGCGAATGATCTGTCGCCATGCCAACGGCATTTGATGACATCCCATAATACGCTTAGATGCGTTGATGGCTGCATCGTTACCAAACCTGTGAAGTTTTGGGCCGTCTCAAACTGTGTCCATTGGAGCTACAGCGACATCGTGTTTTATGGCGAGGGATGCGTTTCCATGGCAACAGCCTATGGTGAGATCTCAGATTTGGCATAAAGCAGTTGAGGCATGGACCGGTGATATACAAGCGAAGTTTGGGGGACGATCGGACAGTGTCCATTGGAGTTACAGCAACATCGTGTTTTATGGTGAGGGATGCGTTTCCATGGAAACGGCATATGATGACACCCCATAATTGACGTATAGAGCTGTTGAGGGCAGGACCATTAACCATTATCTGAAGTCTGCTGCTCTGAGCATGTCAGTTGGAGTTATGACATCAACGTGTTCCATGACACAGGTGTTTATATTTGAGCTAACGAGGTGTCCAGAGATCAAAGGTTTCCATGTTTGTTTTTTAAATCTGTCCTCCACTCTAGCTGTGACATCACGCACTCTAAAATCTGAAGAAGGCCTCTTTACCAAGGTCTAATATCTCTAAAAGTAAGAATCAGATTAACAGTGGTGTTACACGAAGAATGTCAGAAAGATGTGTAACATTTAAAAGTTGGAATGAGGTTTCTGAGTGAAAATATGAAGGAGCAGTTAGCAGTTGAAGAAGGAGCAGTTAGCAGTTGAAGTTGCATGAAGATTGTTGAAGTCTGAAGAGTTTCTCCATTGACTTCCATGTTAAAAATGTGATGTATTATGTGATGTATCTCTGGAATTATGAAAGTTATGAATGATAAAAGTAATAGCCATTGATTCCCGACCGAGCTGAACGTTTTGATGTTTGAACGGAGTTTCTGCGATGTTCAATGTGGGAGGAGAAGTGGCGCAAAATAACCCTGTGGAATAATAAATGATTTTGTGCGTAGCATAACAGATAGTTGTGCTGTATCAGTATTCCCACTAAATTATTAATTATCTCTGAGATGTGTATTGTTGTTGTTGAGAAAAATGAGTTATGACAGATAACAGATGAAACTCTAAAGCGTACTCTAAAGTTGTATTTCAGTTGTTTTCCAAAAGAAAGCCTCCTGTAGTATCGCTCCGTTGCTAGAGCTAGCAGCGCATGTCCCGGGGCTTGGTGTCACATTTGCCTCATGTCATCATCTTGATCTCTACAATAAAGGCACTGTTTCACTCAATTGAAATGTCATAAAATGATGAAGTAATTCATAACCATAACTCGAAAGCAATTGAAAATAACCAAGGCTTGAATAAAAAGAAATATCCTTCTGATGTTTTATGTCAATAGCACTGAAAGCCAACAGAGCCACAATCCACAACGCGTTCACTGGGATCTACGCTTTAATCGCACATACAGTATCACCAGGGTCGGCGTCATGGGGGCCATGCCCCCCCAAATGAGTCACTGTGCCCCCCCAAAGCAGGGTGGGCAAGCCTTGCCACTTTGCCGTTTTTTTTCTTCTAAATCATATAAGTGAAAACGTTTCCACTAAATATTTTTTGTGTGAAATACGTCAGAAATAAAGAATACAAATATAAAACACAGCCTGAGCTGTGCTCACTGCTGCTCTCTGATTGGTGTGTTGCTTGACCAATGACCCCCGACCTTTGTTTTGTTCTCATTACGTGGCTGTGTGTTTAGATGAAAGCCCGGTGGCGATCTGTTAATCTGTTACACTGATTATACAGTAAAGCCATCGCAAATAATATGATATACAGTACAGTACAAGTACCCTACTTCTGGGTCTCTGTGTTTCATTCAAGCTCGGCTCTGTGTGTGTGTGGCACGAGCGCATTTTGTGAGTGCGCAAGCGGTAACGTGGAATGTTGATATTAGCATGATCTGGTTAGCTAGCTATGCTAACGGATATAAAGAGCTGTTTCTAAACCAAGGTGGAGGAGAGTCCTCTCCTGTCAGACTGAGAGGCTCTTATAACGTCAGCTCAGTGAGGTAAGGACTCTCTCAGTGTTTAGATAGTTCACTTTAGTGTAAGTTATCTCAGTGGGTCTCAAACGGTTTGGTCACCATTTATGTAAACAAGTATTTGCGAGGAACACCTTTATATGATCATTATAGTTATTAAAGAATAAGAGAATAAATAAAAAACGGGTATGAAATACATACTATAGGACAGTAACACAAGAATACAGTTTACAAGGGGAGTGATTAGTAAAATATCCATAAAGAAAAAGTAAATCTGTGTACAGTTCTGTTTCATATGGATGCTGAGAGATGTAGGCTATCCATATATCTCCTAATGTTGCTCTCAAAGTGCACCAGATTGATGCATTTAACTTTATTTAACTAATATTTTTTAAATAATCTTCCCGGGGGAGCATGCCCCCAGACCCTCCTAGAGGAGGTTAGGTCCACCCCCACCTAAAACATGTTCACATGGATAGGATACTAAATACATTTGCACCCTTTTTCATATTGTGGCCTATGTCCTTATATGTTTCTGTTTTGGTGGTTGTGCCACAACCGTGCATGTCTGCCACAAGTCATAGGTGCGCTATACAATAGCACTACACCCTGCAATGTGTGTGAAAGACAATACACTTTACAGCATGTTTTTTGAAGTTGCGTTGGTGTTTGTGTGTTGGTTGTTGACGGCAGTGTGTGCCCCCCCTTTGTAAATGATTGCCCCCCCATTCGATTTGTTCTAGAGCCGACCCTGAGTATCACATGCATTTTCGTGTGCTTAATAGAATAAAAACTCTGCTTCAACAGCGGTTTTTGTTTTTAGAAAATGCTTTTTAAAACACCTGACGGTAGAGGTCAAAGCTTTAAGAGCGGGGGGTTAAACACCCAAGGGTAACATGGTTTGTCTTTGGCTATGATTTTTTATTTAAAGTTATCTCTATTTCAAATCACTCATAATATACTTCATACTCCTTGAGATTAAGACCATAACTCCGGGAGATGGTGGGAATAAACAACATAAATGAAATACAAATATTGTATAAGCATAGGACATTCAGCACAAATGTTCCAAAAAATTAAAATAAATATAGAAACATTTAATAAAATAGAATAAAAGCATTATATGAACTGAAGAAGTTAGGTAAACATGTCCAAAAAACATTAAAGAAACACTACAATATACAAAAACATCTGCATACCAGTCTAAAGGTTACACATATAATTTTTTGTTGGGTTTTTGAAGAAACCTCACATTTGTCCATGAACTGATCCCCCCCTGAGTGTCTGCCTCTGCTTCCTGTAGGGTGAGAGGAAGACACGAAGAGCCAACATGGGAGTAGAGATTGAGACCATAACTCCGGGAGATGGTGGGAATAATCAACAGTTTAATAGTAATTATAATAAACTCCCATAGTGTTTGTCTCTTTATTTCACTCGCTTTATTCTCCTTTATATTTACAGGACGGACCTTCCCGAAGAAGGGGCAGCGCGTCGTGGTTCATTATGTCGGTAAGAAATGTCGTAGCTTTTGTGATAGAACACCGTTAAAAGCGGTTCTTTAGTGGTCAGGAAGTCTGCTTTTATTGAGCTGAATTCAGGAACAAGTATAAAACTATTTAAGCTAACTAACTGGTTGCTTTAGCTGGTTAGCATTGATGCTAACGCTTAATAACATGTTAGCCATCTGCTTGGTGTGTCAGTTGGGCTAACGCTATCTAGCATTGATGCTAACGCTAGATTCCATGTTAAACAGATTGCTTGTTCTGTCAGTTGCGCTAACGCTTCCTAGCATTGATGCTAACGCTGAATTCCATGTAAAACATATTGCTTGTGTCAGTTGGGCTAACGCTACCTAGCATTGATGCTAACGCTAAATGCCATGTTTAACAGATTGCTTGTTGTCAGTTAGGCTAACGATAGCTAACATGGTTCTATCGATGGGGCTTTGGTGCATTACTTTGATTATTTACTAAATCATTTAAATGATTATACTTTTATTTTTTTAAGACCGGAGCATTGGTGGAGCTAACGGTTAGCTGCTGTCTGTCAGCCCTGAAGCTAACGTGAAGCTAACCGGCTAATGCTAGCCCCCAGTGACCGTTATGAAGCTACTTCTTCACCAGAGGTGGAAGAAGTACTCAGGGTTGTACTTGAGAAAAAGTAGAAATACTCAGGGTTGTACTTGAGAAAAAGTAGAAGTACTCAGGGTTGTACTTGAGTAAAAATAGAAGTACCAGAGTGTAGGAATACTCTGTTACAGTAAAAGTCCTGCATTCAAAAATGTTCCTCAAGTAAAAGTATTATCATCAAAATATAGTGAAAGTAGCGACAGTAAAAGTAGTCATTGTGCAGATTGGTCCATTTCAGAATAATATATATGATATGTTTTATAATGATTGATCATGAAAGTGTTCTCAAAGCTGGTAAAGGTGCAGCTAGTTTGAATGACTTTGTATACTGCAGGGTAGCTGGTGGATTTACTCCAGGTGGAACTAAAGTCTGATTAACACTTGATTAGATTTCACATCATTCATCCACATCTGTGAAGTAACTAAAGGTATTAAATACATGTAGTGGAGGAAAAGTACACCATGCACCTCTGAACTGTAGTGGAGTAGAAGTACACTACAAAGCATTATATTGAAATACTCAAGTAAAGTACAAGTATCTCAAAATTGAGTAAATGTGTTTTGTTGCATGGCACCACTATTGATAATTCATGCATTAATGACATTAAATGTGACTTTTTTTGTCAGGCACACTGGCAGATGGGAAGGTGTTTGACTCCTCGAGGTCCCGGGGGAAACCGTTCAAATTCAAGATTGGACACCAGGAGGTGATTCGAGGCTGGGAGGAAGGAGTAGCGCAGGTGAGGAGCTGGTTTTTTACTATAAATAGCTTTATCACTGGAAATGATATATGCTTTATCGTGCAGTTATTCACATAACATGTTCACTGCTGTGTGCATTACTTCATTTAGTTGCAGACACTGTCTCTAAACAGAATTGCACTTACTTTCTATATCATAAGTAAACGTTTGCACACTTCTGCACAAACAGTTTGTCCCTCAATTAAAACCTCCTTTTATTTGATATGTTCATTGTTACGCACAATAAGGCCAGCCAGGTCATTGTGAAAACCTTGAATGAATATGTTGTTACTTCTCGGTCTAATTCAGGATTATCAATCAGAGTGGTTTTGGAGCTGCAATAAGTCGTCTATTGATAGATATACGATTGCCATCCGTTTAATTAGTTAGTAATTAGTCATTGACAAATATGTCAGAAAATGCTCAAGCCTCTTAAATATGGAGATGTGCTGCTTTCCAATGTTTCGTATCATAATGAAAGTTACGTAACGTATTCAGATTACTTTTGGATTACTTTCTTTTTCCATCACAGACGGGTATGTTTTAGTGAACAGGAGACACAAAAAGCAAAAGGAAACTGAACGCCAAGGAGGAAGTGAAGTGGAGCACACAGGAGACAACCATTTCATTGCAGACTGTTATGTTTATGTGGGGGAATTACAGTGCATACATTGTTTGAGATATATTTCAAACTCAGACTTCATTTTAAGGACATGTCGGCCAGGGGTTTAGAGCTATTTGTTTAAGCACCGGATTGGTGCTTAGACTCTGTAAACCAGTCTGCCTTGATCTATGTATTCATGTCTGTGACTCTCACAGTATCTGCTGCCCGCAGCTGTTTTATAGAAGGAACACCTCCTTCACTTCATGAAGTCTCTGCAGCACCAGGAGGCAGCGGGAGGGTTACCTCAGCCTCTGAGAAGAGGAGCGCGCAGTGCCTTTCACGCACCGCCTTTCACGCACCGCCTTCACTGTGGTTACCTTCAGAATCATTAGAAAGGCTAAGAGCGACCGCAGGCTGATGTGTTTTAACCACACACACACACACACACACACCTGCACACACACACACACACACACACACACACACGAACTGCCCGATTATTCCCACTTTTATTAGTTTTATAAAGGAGATCTCCGGTCACCAAGGTGTGTGTGTGTGTGTGTGTGTGTGTGTGTGTGTGTGTTGTGTGTGGTGTGTGTGTGTTGTGTGGTGGTGTGATGTGTGTGTGTGTGTGTGTGTGTGTGTGTGTGCTGTGGTGTGTGTGCGTGTGTGTGTGTGTGTGGTGTGGTGTGTGTGGTGTGTGTGTGGGTGTGTGTGTGTGTTGTGTGTGTGGTTTTTTTGGTGTGTGCCTTGTGTGGTGTGGGTGTGTGTGTTCTGTCGTGTGGTGTGTGTGTGTGTGTGTGTGTGTGGTGTTGTGGTGAATGTGTCTGTGGCTGTGTGTGTGTGGTGTGTTTGTGTGTGTGTGTGGGGGTGTGTGTGTGTGTGTGTTGTGTGTGTGTGTGTGTGTGTGTGTGTGTGGTGTGTGT